TCAATTTAACTAATATTCTTAATTCACTTAAATTAGTTAATTAGTCTTACATTAAGGATTGAAGGAGTATAATATACTAATGATTGATTGATAAGTTAATATTTTATTAAAAACTTATTTTTTAATTATACAATAATTTATATACAATATAAAGATTTAAATTTTAAGATCTATTTTACATTTTAAAAAAATGAATTTACCAACTCAAAAATTGACCTGATACAAAATTAGGCAAATAACGAATTAGAAAAAAATCTTATGAAAGCTTTCAATATCAGAGTTGAAAACGATGGCTTGTCTTTTTCTTTTCTTTTATTTTTTTCTGAGACGACATATCAACATCAACGACACTCTGAAATAGAAATTATATGTTCACATTGCAATAGAAGCATGTAATTTTCTTATCAAAAAAGAAAAAAAAAGAGGAGTGAAAAAGAAAGGGACACGACTTGCGAAATTGCGAATGCGTGAGGTGAAAGCAATTACCGACGTCGTTTCGTCTGTCACCCAATCTGTTCCGTTCGTCCCGTCCTTAACGAATCAGTGGCTTCTTCAGTTCCTTTGTCGGAGCCCTGTGACACCAAGAAACGAAGATGAAGCACAGAACATGGCCTTCTCGCTCTGGGGTCTCTCGTTTCTCATCTCTTCCATTTCCTAATATGATCAACTCTGATGTTTCCACTAAAAATTCTACCTCGAAAACCCTTTCAAAGCATCGGCTTACTCAGGTCGCTCAACTCGGCTCTGCTCAAGGGCATCATCAGTGTCTGCTCCATCAGGATCTTCATCACGTGATGCCGATTTCTCTGCCCTCCCCTATGACATTCTTGCGAAAATCGCCGCTTCCTTTACCCTCCCGAACCTTCAAGCGGCGTCTCTGGTTTGTCGGTCGTGGTCGGAGGCGCTTAAGCCGTTGAGGGAGGCGATGCGTCTTCTGAGTTGGGGAAAGAGATTCAAGCATGGAAAGAGATGCGTTCGTCCGAATATAGACAAGGCCCTAGATTCTTTCCTGAAAGCTGCGGCTCGGGGCTCCGCTCTGGCTATGGTTGATGCGGGTCTGATTTACTGGCAGATGGGCGAGAAGGAGAAGGCAATTGTTTTGTATCAGAGAGCTGCTGAACTCGGAGACCCAGCTGGCCAGTGCAATTTGGGAATTTCCTATTTGCAAGGTATTTCCAGAATTTAAACTTTATAGTTACCATTTTTATTTCATTTCATCTAAAATCTCAGTTGAAGCTTCAATCTTTAGTCTTAAAATCCTTTTTTCCCGTCCTGTTTTTGAGAACAAGTGCCTCTCCTCAGGCCTTCATCCAAACTACATATTGCATATTTATAAATTCTGATAATATGGACTTGTGAATTTAGAATTTGCATAGAAGAAATGAAATTGGAAGTCGGAAGGTGGAAGATGTAATGTTTTTAGACTTATGTTGTGCCTTCATATTTCAATACTTCATCTTTTTGCCATCACATTTCAATAGTTCATCTACACTTCTGCTGAGTGCACTATTTACATATACTAATAGCGATTCTTAGCTGTGTGTTATGTAATAATGATATCCATGCTCTTGAAATTTTCATGCACAAATGTTTTCTTAAATATGAGTTTCAGTTTGCGCCGAGGTTAAAATCAAAATCAATAAACATAAAAACAACGTAAAGCACACAATGGAAGATTATGCACGTACTTCGGGTTGCAGCAGAAAGTCAGAAACTCATTGCTGTGAAACCATTTAGTCCTTCAGGGTTGAGTGCAATATTATGGCATCTATGAGTGCTGAAGGAAAATTTCACTTGTCCGATGTCATGGGAGACTGCAGTTTTCGAGGACCGGTTCTTTATAAATAACTGAGGTTTTGGTTTTATCTGTATTTCTGCTTTGCCTTATTAGGCGTTCAAAGGATTTCTTTCCAAGATATAACTTCACTTGGCTCACGATAGTCACGCAAGTAAGTTTTTTTTTTTATTTTTTATTTTTAACCTTAATTTGAACTTGGGCGGTTTTTGGGACTGCATAATGTTTGATGGTTTTCATGCTTCATAATTCAGTTATATGGTGCATATCAATGAAACTTATCTGTAACTCGTACTCAGATTTGTTACAATTTATCTTTGCTATAATAATTATCCTGCATGTATATGAACCCCGCATCCCAAAAAATGAATTCTGCATTTCTTCAAGAAAGCTTTTTCCTTGCTTGAAAGTGACAAGAAAATGAAAGCTAATTTAAGTAGGTCCTCTTTCCATATTTGCAATTGCATTGCATTCCTTCACAAAAGATTGTTTGAGATATATTTTATCCTAAAAAATAAAAATTGTCCATACATATCATGCCTTGATGGCACCAAAGTTTATGACAATAAAAAATGCTTATGAAGGTATAAATTTGCTCTGCAGCTGAACCTCCAAAAACTAAGGAAGCCTTAAAATGGTTATACAAAGCTTCAATTGGTGGGAATGCCCGTGCTCAATACCAACTGGGGCTTTGCCTTCATCGAGGTCACAAGGTCAATTGCAACATAAGAGAAGCTGTAAGTGTTAATTTGCTTGACATCAACATAAAGCATCCCTTGATATCAGTAACTATATTCCTTCTTTATTTGATGGGTGTATTAAACCTTTGTTTGTGAATTGGCTTTTTAATGTAAGAAATGCTTGTCATAGTATGCCATTCTGTTCTTGCACAAGCATGTGTATGCTGATCTTTGCCACTAACGAGTTTTCCACGGAACAGGCTAAATGGTATTTGAAAGCTGCAGAAGGAGGGTATGTGCGTGCAATGTACAATATCTCCTTATGCTACTCCTCCGGTGAAGGTTTGGCACATAATCATCAGCTTGCAAGAAAATGGATGAAGCGGGCTGCAGATCATGGTCACAGTAAAGCTCAATTCGAGCATGGACTTTCTCTCTTTTCTGTAAGCAATCGACCTATACCTTTTATTTTCTTGACCAGCAATATGAGCCCTCTTATTTTGAATATTCATGGTTCCCCAAAAACAAGAAAAAAAAAGAAAGAAAAATGAAACGTACAACTTCTGTGTGACTGTTTCTTATATCAAACTAGACTTCATGATTTGGCTTTTGAGCTTTAAGGTCTCACCATCCTTTATTTTTAAAGTTCGTTAGTAATTAAACCGCGATCTTTGTCCAGGTGTAGTATATGACTTTCAGTTCACATCATCCATATTTCTACTCAGATTTACATGATCACGATATTTAGTTTCAGAGTTCAGTTCCACTAGGTTACTAACACAAATTAGACTTACATGAACTTTGCGTATTCTTCCTGTTTTAGGTTCTATAAAAACAGCCTTTCATGCATTTATGCGTCTAATGGGGGTTCCAATTTACCTTTGTATTCCCTTTCTTTAGGTTTTTATAATTTGTTTTTTATATGACATCTATACATAAGATTGAAATAGTTGTCAGCAATGGCTAAGTGTTCCTGGGCATAAGATTTTGGGTTTTTGTCTTATTTATATGTATGTGTTTCAGATTATACATGATTCTAACAGAGATGTTGCATCTGAACAGGAGGGTGACTCGATGAAAGCTGTGGTATACCTAGAACTTGCCACACGTGCTGGTGAAAGAGCCGCCGCTCGTGTCAAGAATGTAGTTCTACAGAGGCTTTCATTGCCTTCACGGGATCACGCCATGCATCTTGCTGACAGGTGGCGTGCTTTGCCTTCATGTTGACTTGTCATGCATTCCTGGCAAAGAGTCTCATATTCCCCTTGCCTTGACTACTGATGTTGCAACTTCTTGACAATGGACTCGACAAAGCAAGCCAGAAAATGGGCTAAAAAAAGGAACTGACTAGGATGCCATTCCTACAAATTTTGAAAGTAGTGCCATAGTGGTCTTCCTTTATGAAATAACCTAGCTTGTGCTTGTAGCTCTGAAAGCAAACAATAGATGGTAAGATTATACAAGGCCACCCTTCGGACTAGTTTTGGGGTCCCTAGAAGTCACAGAACTTGTTCGTTAATGCCTCCAATTCAGCAGCCATGTTCCTTTTGGAGCACGACGCCCCCTGTGGAATTTTGAAGAAAAAACTGTCTGGGTAGGTTATAAGCTTTCGTGTCAGGTAGGGCAGTTCTAACCAATACTGTAGTGTGATAAAACTAAGGGCGACGATGCTGGTATATGTAACATTTGGGTCATCTGATTGTAATATATGCTGATTTTCCCTGAGCTTTTCCTCCTTCTCATAAAAGCTGTAGTGAATTATATGATGCCAATTTCTCTTATGGATGGACAAATTGGTAGAATGCATTTTGAGAGATGATTATTCGGAAGAATACAAGCTTATAATTCGCTGCATCAAGTAGACGTAAAGTGAAATTTGAGTCATCTACATTTAAAATTTTTAATTTGGAACTTTTAGATGATAAAATTATTTTTCAAAAAAGTGAGAGTTTACCTAATTGATGAAATTTTATTTAAAATTAAATCAAACCTCGACTGTTCAAATTTAATGGGATGGTCTGGATCGATGACAAGTATGACATGTCCGCTTGAATGCAGAGAGTTTGGCTCATTCTATCCGGTTGACCTTCATCACTATTCACTGCACCTAAATGAACCAATATGGAAGGTTTAGCAATCCGATCGTAGGCTTTGTTTTGTAAGAATCACGAATTAATCTCCTAATGGAAGAGTGGTTTTCATGCTGGCAAAAAAAACAGAGTGGTTTTCAAAAGGAAAAAAATGGTAGTTTGGATGTTGAACCAGAAGAGAGTTAAACTGATATTGAACTGGAGTGAACTAATAATGAACTGGTTTAGATAATTATATTGTTATTAGTCCTATTTTTTTCTCATTTAACTTTCAATCATTATAGATTTGAATGAGTTTTAATGATGATTTTGATATCAATGATTATTAATGTTAGTAATTTTAGTTAGTGATAAATCATCAAACTTGAAATTCTTAATGTTGTTGTACTTTGTTATTGTTATATTTTCTTGTCTTTTGTTGTTAGTGATTATTAATATTATTATATTTTGTTATTTTTAATTAAATTATATTTTAATATAACTGGTTTGATCCAAGTTGACTCGATCCCACCAACTAACTCTCAAACTGCTAACTTAACTTGTTTAGTGTCTGGTCCACTTTTTCTTCCTTACTTTTCATTCTGTATGCTACCGATATTTTTTTTATGTATAAAAATTTGTCAAAGTCCATTTTACCAATAAAATTTGCATGAAAGAGTTTTTCTTAATTTTCCCTTAAAATCTGCAATACATTGAAGTCCACCGTATTGTATTCAGAAATTGAAGGAGCAATAAGGGGGGATGGTGGAGAGTGGCTAAAGGGCTTCTCGGTGCAACTAGAAAGCTGTGAGGTGGTAGAGGCTGAGGCGTGGGGTATCTTGGTAGGACTAGAACTATGCCGAGACATGGGATTCATGAGAATTGAAGTGGAATGTGATTCTAAGCAAGTGTGGACCTGTTAGTGCAGAACAAAGAGCGCAGCCGACATATGAATGTTTTCCAGGAAATTCAGGAGATGATGAAAGAGGATTGGCAAATCAGGATCAGACATGTCTTTAGAGAAGGGAAACCGACAGGACAAGCTAGCCCCTTAGCCTACAGCTTGATTCACCAAGAACCATCTGGGACACTCCGCCTGAAATACGGAGAATCCTCGATGAAGATTTAGCTGGCACTGAGATTCCCCAAAGAGTCTATACTGTTTGTAATGGTTCTGTAATGTAGTGGGCCTAGCCCCTGTTTTATCACCCAAAAAAAAAAAAGAAATTGAAGCCGCTGTGAAAATAGATCATGAATTCTATTCTATCTTATTCGCCACACAACAGAATATGAAAGCCCACCCCACCTCCAGCCCGCTGTTGGTAAAGAAATTACTGCCTTGTAACCAGAAGGCCAAAACATCTTGCGAAAGTGAAAGAAAAAAATTTCTTCAACCTCGTCTCACACAAAAACTAGTGACTTGCCTGACCATAATCCAAAGTGCCCCCCGCCTTGGTCATTAAAGTGGATCATCACATTCTATTTTTACGCCTCAGCTTTTATATGACTTTTAAAGTGTATATATTTATTGAGCATCTTCTAACTCCTCTGAAGACCATAAATCAGTTAACTCCTCTTAGTGAAGAGCTTTTAGATAATGACAACACAGCATGAAACCAGAAGCCAGAATAAGCTACCCAACTTACAAGTTAAAGAGCATCAACAAAGACAAATCAAGCCCTTCGATCAATAGTAACGTTTTTTACAGTCACAGCCCTTTTTTTTGGGGATGAGTTCAAGAATTCCCAAGGTCACAAACTCGGTAATTTCAGAGCCTGAGGACAACCAGATATTGAGAATTTTTCAATTTCATAAAAAGCTACATGAACTGTTTGAGAACAGGGGGAGGAATTATTCCAACATTAAATTAGATATTTTTCAGAAACATGAACGGATTTCTCTGTCTCATCTGCAAACTAACCATATTATGTCCAGCATGTCATCTCATCTGAAGCATGTGTATATTGTATTTTCATTGGTGACGTTCCTGTAGACGGTAGCCACAGAAAAAACTATAGAAAACTAACAAAGACAAGATCCAAAACAAAGATGAACAAAGCATATTCAAACTCACAGAATATCAGCGTCCAGGATTCATCAAGACAAGTCTGAGGCAAAGAAGATATCAGCTGCATATTCTATGGATAAATCAAATCTCAGAGAATCCTATTCCCACTACAAGACAATGCAGCATCGAAAGGAATGATAGAGAATCAATTTAATCAACAAAATAGGTATACAGAGAAATTCCAAGGGCTTAAAAGAGTTTATTATCCAAAATAAATTTAACCTCTGACCTTCACCACGTTCCCCAGTTCACGGGAAAAAAGATAAGACGGCCTAAGCTGAAAAACTGAAGTATATTCTTACAAGAGGTACGGTTTGTTCCTATAGACCCCCTTTATCCACAAAGGGTTAGCCAGATGTAACCTAATAAGCCAAAGACTGATACGGAATATATACACACACAAAACATGACACAAAGAAATAAGTAGCGTTCAAGTGCAATTTGAAGTGTCATTTCATATCTGATTGGAGCGTCTAGTGCATGGCAGCATCCATGCCTGACAGAATATGACTTCTTTAGATCTTTTCCAGTATCAGTGCTTCATAGGATGCAACTATTTCGATAGCATTCTCATGAACCTATGAAAACATAGCCCACCAACTTACTGAATAAGTACTCAAGGATAATATGAAATCCTTTGAGAATGGGATCCGGCATGGTACAGATTAAGGTGAACTAATGCCTTTGACACTAATTCTTTTATTTCCGGATGCTGGGAAATAACTGTTCGATCAACACCCTCTAAAGTTGTCAATACCCTTTCTTGTTCCAAGGATTCACTGTTCCCAGCATGCAGTGCAAGGTAGCAGAGAAGGATTAGTCCATGCAATTGAGTATCTTCATTACGCCGTAGGAATCTCATAAGAGCAGGGACGCCATTGAACTCAATTATTGCCTTCGAGTGCTCCACACATAGGAAATTCTCTGGACAAGCAAACTTATAGAGCGCAATGACCGCTTCAGTTGCTACATCAGACATTTTATGACTTATTTGTGTTACTAGAGGACCAATTACCCGAGTCTCTCGTGCAGGAAATGTCCTAGCTAGTGAACCAATTGATTTTATGGCTGGAATTTTTAGAAGTGGGTTGTCAAAATCCTTAATCACCCTTAAGAGCTGTTCCACCACGGCTTTAGCAGCGGGTGAATTAGTCTTAAATGCTGCCCGGCGAAGGTCCGCATTTGATTCAGCCGCCAGCAGCAGTAATCTCCATTATTGTCATCAAGCAATTGTACTGAAGCTCTCCTTGCTCCTTCTCAACCAACCTCGCCAAACAAAGCATCCCTTTTGTCTCAGTTATTTTCCTGCTATTTGACACGCTTCCTTTGGCAAGCATCCACAAAGCCTCGGCACAACTAACCTTCAACTTAAGCTTCAATTCAGGGTCCTCATTCTCCCTCTCCTTTCTGTGATTCCCCGCCCGGCTACTTCCCTCCATATGCAAATATGAATTCGAATGTGAACTCGTAAGCGGGCGATTGCTTGACCTAACCATTGACTTTTTCTCCAATTCCTTGTTAATTTGCATAATAGAATGAATACTCTGCTTACCCAATTGACCGGTATGATCATCATCAAAAGTATCGAAAGACAACAATGTCACAAGCGGCCTAATTGCATTCTCCCTGGCAAAATCCTCCTGGGCAACAGGGTCATGTTTTGCCATTCTAGCCACCAAATTCGCGGCTCGAATTTGAACCCTCATCGGCGAATCTCCAAGAACCTGCACGACAGTTGGAACTCCTAGCTCGTTCACAATCGTCCTAACTCTGTCAAGATCGTTTGCCAAGTGACATAACGCACTAGCAGCTGCAATTTGAGCAGTTGGAAGTGTGCTTTCCTTAAAAAGCTTCAGCAATGGGGGAACCCCACCTTCTTCAACTATAATCTTCTTATTCCTATCGTTATCTTGAGCAAGCGCAGCTAGTTCATTCGCAGCTTCAATGCGATCATTCAATTGACCCATTTGGATAGAAGCGATGAACGACCAAACCCACGAGAGAATCGGGTCGTTGCTGGCAATCGGAGGAAGAGACAGCTCAATCCCACCGCAACCGGTGCCGTCGGTGTCGAAGATACTAAGAAGCCATTTCATGTCGCCCACAGAAGCTTCTAGATAGTTAAGAACTTTCCGGAAATCGGCGGTGCTAACAATGTTCACAACCCGTCGAAGAAAGCTCTGTCGCTTACATTTTCGGACTAGGGTAAGGGGCGCGTTCGAGGTTTTTCGACAACTCAGCGGCCACACGCCGAATTGGTACCTCGTAGAGCGAAGGGGTTGTGCTGGCGAAGCGAACCAGGGTTCGAAGCATTTGAAGAAGACGATCGACTTGCTTCCACACTTCGGAACACTCAAATTTGAAGGATTCGGCCTCGTCGACAGCCTTTCGGATTCGTTCCGCCAGGAGAATCGGGTAGGAGAGCTCGTCTTCGATTCGCTG